TTTCTCTCTCTCTCTCTCTCTCTCTCTCTCTCTCTCTCTCTTTCTCTCTTTCTTTTTCTTTCTCAGGACCTTGCACTTGCAAGGCAGGCAGCAGAAACACTGAGCTAAATCCCTGGCCCTAGATCACTTCTGGGAAGACTTTTTTAACCTATACCATCTCTTTGCCTTCCAACTTCCTGGTGCCCTTTAAATATACATTCTTCTAGACTCTTGTTTCCCTTAATCTTGGCTTCTAGCTATAGAATCCGTAAGATACTTATTCAATTAATCTCCATCTGACTACTAAGCCTGGAGTTCCGTGAAGAACACTTCTCCACTGAATACCCAGTCTCGATCCTTGAACAACAAATGGTAGGAATTCAATAAGGTATTTGTTGAAGGAAAAGAACAAATAGCTCATTGTTCCATTTTTTGATCATCACTTAGCCTACTGGCACAATGAAGCACATTCTGGGCAATGTGATGATCACAGAAGCAGCTCAACTTCATAGTCCTGGAGTGGATATTAAGGCCACGCTGACTCAACTGACTGAGAAGCCCAGATATCGTCAGTCAGCCAGAAATTTTGTTCTCTTTGTATGCTTTTTCCTCCATCTTCTTCCCTAAACTTCATGGCTAGAGCTCAGACTCTGCTGCTCAAATTCAGTGCTTAGCAGTACAACTTTTCCACTAAGCAAATGATTTTGAATCATATATAATACATATCATAAATATAAAATATATATATTGAATAGTGCCATCCTTTGGTCCTATTATTCTAGCCTTCTTTATCATTTTTGATATTTTGCTTGAGGCATACATTGCACCCCCTAATGCTTTTAGAACCTGTCAGTGATTTGCTTTCATGTCCATATTAAAACTCCCTCATGTTCCTTACCTATAATCAGTTAATAAAAGCAAAAGATATTTTCTTGTTTGTTATTTGATGTTAAAGTTTTGCACAGCCCCCTTCCTTCAGTGAGAAGAAAATTCTGCGGTAGGTAATTGGCATATTTATCCTCAGAAAATATGCCTGAGGTTCATTTTGAAACATAAGGAAATGGTTTCCTAAATTATTTTAAGTCATGTAACTTCCAGGATAAAATTTTCTGTGCATCAAAATAAAGATGTGGGATTCAAGGCAACAGTGATACCATTGATAAGCAACAATGGCATTCATTTTTTTTTTTTTAGAATATACTAGGGATAGTAGATTGAAACAGCTAGGTCAAAAGCAATGAATAAACCAAAAACAAAAAGATCTGCTTTTATGGAGTTATTATGCAGATAGTGACAAGATTGTAAACAAAGAAACCTAACATTTCAGACTGAATGGTTAGAAGAAGAGGCTATCTTCTGAGACACTCAATCCATAGCCTATAAGAATCTTCATTTTTCTTCATAAGAGTTTACACAAATGAGGTTGGTCTGGACTTTGTCTTTAGAAAAAGAATGAGAAATGTGCTTTCTCTTTTCAAATATCTAGACTAGGGTTTATTCGGTTTCTCCTTATTGAGATACTTTTTTGAAATAATAACAGACACTTTATCTGCAAGCTTGTTGTAGAGAAATAAGTACCTAGGAAAGATAAGAAACAAGGACGTACAAGAAAGGATGGCAATATTAGGATGGTGCGGGCTGTGCTACTGTGGAGCACTAGGCTTTTACATACAAGGCTGTCTAGTGTGAGGAAGGCAAACTAATCTGCTTCACTCAGAAGAGAAGAATCTAGAAATGGATTTCAAAACACAAAGATGTCAATCAACAAGAGACACTGGAATGAACTGATACCAAGAAAAATTGTGGAGTCTCCTCTGCCACTTTTGGAGAACATGATACATAGCACCTGGTCTGATAATGAGGAAGGAGGATTTATTGGAGACAGATGGTCTGAGATTTCAGTGTGGTATTATATGACTGCTCCTCTTTGACTCTCTCAGATCTAACACCATACTTAAAATGTTCTTTTTGCTCTTTACATATTCTATTTTATTTTATTTTTATTTCTCCCATAACAT